GGGGGGGGCAGTATCTGCCTAAGTGATCTATGGTGCTGCACCTTAGCTGGTCGTTCTTCTTGAGGTTAAATACCAGCTGCCTGGCCTTGTCGAGATAGGTCGCCTTTTTCGACAAGTACGGGTCGTTTTCGTTCATGGCGCACTCCACGCCCTTCGCCACGCGCGCAGTCGCTGAAAAGATGCATAGTTCATAGGCACATACAGTACGACGGAAGGAAAAGAGGGCAACTTCATGAGGCAATATAAAAGTCAAAGTTATCACGACTGATCAATCCCAGATAGGGAGACGCTACACACTTTAAGCATGCCGCCAACTATGCACACGTATAACAACGGAGTTCGTACACCGCAATACAAAAAGAAATTAGAGGAAATCCAACACGTATGTGCATGGTCCGAAGTGAGGCATACTTAGCACTACACTGTAGAAATGCTAGATATGGAAGTGTAGAGGCACAGGCTTCTTCCCTAGGTGGAAGGAGGTCCAGCTTGCACTAGTCTTTACCCACTTCAATACCGGGGGTTGCGAGTTGCTACTGGCGCTGTCTGCGCAAAGAAAGTGAGGTCAGCACGAGAAAGACCAGGAAGGGGGTACGCAAACCGTAACCCTAACCCCCACCTTACCCGATTACATACTTTATCTAGAATGCTTACTGAGAAAAGGCAGCGCATATTAGTGCTGTTCTCTTTCTTGAGATCTAGCAGGGAGAAGGTTCCAGAAGATATCCACAGTTGCCGTGATCTAGGGTGTTTCTTCGGAAATCTAGGGTGTTTCTATGGAGATCTACATTGCAGGGTGTTCCTCCCGAGATCTAGGGTGTTTGTAGAAGGTCGATCCTTTGTCTGCTGCGCGTGTGCCAGCGTGCGGTCTTCGCTCGAAAGTAACAAATCTTGCGTCAACCTTTTCTTCGCACCTCTGACGGTTTGGACCGCCTACACAAGCCACCAACGAATGAGGAAATAGTAGTCAAATTTGTCACGACCGATCAATCGCGCATAGGCAGATGACGAGCGCACGCTGCCAACTCCAACTATGTACAGAAACGGATGCTGTACGCATTTTCTTTGTTGCTCATCACTGCTGAATCAGCCCTCACGACATTTCTGCTGGGTGTAGGAGCTATATATTCTCAAATCCGTGGTCAGTCGTCCAAACGGGTTCCGACCCTACCAACCCCTCCTGCGGTAGATGGTTGTCTTAGATTAGTAACGAGAGAAGAGTGCAGCGGTGCCTTACCTCAAGTAAGCCGAAAATCTACCACCTGTGAATGGGAGTGTACATACACCCAACACGACACAGCGCCACCAAGCGGGGGCACGCAGTTGGGCAACCGTTGTCCAGCACCTAGAGAGCCACTAGCTGTGTGTGGACCGATCTCTCGCAGGTGGAAGTTTCGACCGACCGCGGCCCGCATCACCCAACAAGCATCGGCCAATCGGCGGCACCCACGTTCCGTTTCGACTCACGTATCCGCTCGTCCTCCGATGAGCCCAGGAGCAGGATGTCGAACATCTTCCGCCTCATTTTTAACCGCAATGGCGCCGGGTCGTCGTCTGACAGTATGCTGTCCACTTCTAAGGTCGTGCACAGCTCCTGTGGTGACCGGAGGTTCGACAGCAGCAAGTAAAACGGTCAAGTCAGACATGCGCCCAGCAGGAGTCTGCTGCCGACACTCACAAACACAGCTGGTGTCGTTGGCAAAATGGGGCACCAGTCAGTATGTAGCAGCGCCAGATTCGCATGGTTGGGGCGGGGGCAGCAGGAAGAACATGTGCACAGCAGTTTTTTCCAATTTCGCCAAGGCGAAAACAGGTTCAGCCGAGAAGCGTTCAGCAGAGAGCCCAATGTTGAACAATGTTTCCCGAGGCGTGTTCTTCACCCGTTTCGTGGGCATAAAACGCAACCAGCAACGTATCAGTGCATGGGTGCCTACGTAGAATCTTATCTGACAAAAGCTCTTCCTGAGATTAGAAGTTCGACGCCAGAGGTTAATAGATAGATTGCTGCATCTCACCGAGGTGGAGGAGCCGGAGAGTTGCCTGGACAGGGGGACCGCCTCCGAGGTTGAACTTGTTGCAGTCTTGGTCAAACAACAACGGAAATCGAACAAGGCACGAAAGGACAAGGGTAAAGGACAGCAAGTATCAGGGCTTGTGGCGTGACACTTACAATGTAGCCCGTGGCGGGTTTCACTCAGTAGCAGTGTCATGAAGTCTACCATTGGACACAATACAAAGCGAACATGAGTTTTGAGGCCTCGAAAAATTCAACACAAACATCAAATGATCCCCTCCGAGGAAGACAACAAAAATCACACGCTGCAACCATGAAGTAGTATGCGACAACAGAGGTGGCATGTGTGGCGCGGTTGATATATATTTCAGCGAGGCGGTGCATTCAGTGTTGATTCCGGGGCACAGCGGCTGCGAAGAAGGTAAGTGCCGCCGACGGGAACGCAAGCTGGCATCAAAATTCGCACTTTACGTGTGTAGTGTAGCTATCAAGAGTCTGTTTTCCACTAACCAAAGAAACCGCCACCTTTTCAAGTACTTTGAGCGCGTGATGAATTGCATGCCATCCTAAGCTACGTTTGTAACAGGGTACAAGAGTTTTCACAGACCGACGAGACACCTGAATATCCCACCTTTCCAAGCTTGCTGCACCGCGCGATTGATCACTTAATCTCTCAAGTACACAACCGATCACAATGCCATTGCGGGCCACGACTGATCACTCTACCATCGAAGCACATAAATATTGACGTTAGTTCTACAAGCATAGCACACGACGAGTGATACTCCACCGTCAAAGCACATATATTGACGTTAGTTCCACACGCACACCACACCACGAGTATTTACTCCACCATCAAAGCACATATACATTGACGTTACTTCCACATGCACACCACACCCGAGTAATTACTCCACCAACACAGTAACGTCAGTTCTACAAGCAAAGCACGCCACCGTTCAGCAGCAAACCACTCCCTGATGAGTCGTTCCTACTGCAGACCTTGCCAACAGCGCCTTTGAGAGGGGATGTGGCCGCTGTCGCGCTCCCCGCCGCCACCGCTTTGTTCGTACCAGAGCTAGGACCTGCGCCGCCGCCCCCGGAGGGAGTAGGGACCTCCTGCTTTGATGCCCCTGAGGGTACAAGTCGTTCAGGATGAGACAAAAAACACAATCGGTGAGCACCGCAGGAGGGGGAGGAAGAACACTATCAAAACCGAAGGCAAGCTTCGCGGGAGGGGTGGAAAGGGAGAGGAAGCCTTCTGTGTGACTGACCACGGATTGGAGCTCCCGCTGTGAGCGCTGACTTCAAGGTGACGAAAAAGAAAAAGAGGAAGATGGGTGCCTATCAAAGACAAGTGCTGAAAGGGAATACCACTTGGGGTTGTCACTGGAAGGGGCTCAAAACGTTTTAGCCGGAACACACCAACACCATCCCTAAACAGGCAATGGGAATAACACCAGCGGCATCACAAAACTCAGCAAATTACGCTAACTGCAGTCATATCGTTTGATTGCGGCTTCTAAAGTGGGCACCATATGCCCGCCAAAGGGCAATCGATCGCTACGGTTCACGGCGAATGAACGAAATTTGTTGAGCCTACAATACCCGAAATGTTCTGTTCTAGATACCTTCTCACAAACCCGATTTTTCTGTTGGGGTTCTGCGACTCTTCAAACGCCTGGTACCCGATAGTTCCGTGAGTGCTGTAAACGCTTGCGATACACCTACTAAGCACACCCTCGCAAAATTGCCATACCGTTACACCGTTACAGTAGAGGTCCCTGTTTAGTGCCGGTATGTGCCAAGCAAATTCAGCGGCACTGAACATACCGGACCGGCACTATTCAAAGTATCGAGAAATTACTTGGAAATTCAGAGTGTGACCGCCGAAAACACCGGCCCGACGTATTCAACCGGCACTAGACAGGGACCTCTCGTACTGCTGCATTACCTTTTCCCGCCGAACCCGGGGGCAACCTTCCCGTCTTCCCAGCAGCGCCGGCGGCCGCGGCAGGAGCACCCTGCACCCCCGACGCTTCGGCTACCCTCTTCCACTTCTTGACCAAAGCCTTCGCAGATTTGGAAACCTCTTCGTCGGCGTGTTTCTTGAGCTTTGAAACCGTCGCTCCGACCTTGCTCTCTTGGAGAACGGCCAGAGTCACTTCCACCTTTCCGAGCGAGCTTAGCACGTCGCCGATGCGCTCCACGTCCTGCACTCAAGGGAGAACCAACGTTAAGGGAGGCAACAACGGAGATGCAACGAAAATCGTTTCTCGTTTCCGTAAATCCGTTGCAAACCGAAGGCGGCCATCTACCACAGGAGGGATGGGTAGGGAGTCTCAGAGGGGAGGAAGCCTTCTGTGCGACCACGAGTTGGAGCTCCTTAGGGCAGAAATGCTGCGTGTATGGGCGCGCTGAAGGCAGGGGTCTACCGCAGGAGGGATGGGTCGGGGGTCTCAGGGGGAGGAACCCATCCATGTACCATGCCACCACGGATTGGAGTTCCTTAACTACAGAAAATGTTGTGTGGAAGCGCTGATATTCGTTGAAGGCAAACCATCTACCGCAGGACGGTAGGTGGATGGGGGGCCTCAGGGTGGGGGACCCTTCCGTGTGACCACGGGTTGGAGCTGCTGTGCATGAACTGCAGAAATGTGCCATGTGCGAGCGCTGATTATGTGTGAGCGCTGATTATGTGTGAGCGCTGATTTAAAGCGATGGAACAAAACCAAACAAAAAATCGCCATGTGCACACTTTCATGAATCGCAACGCCGATGCTCTGGACAACTGGGGGAAGGCGAGATGAATCCATCATGTCTGTGGCCTGAAATATTTCTCCGCCGGGGAGGTTACAGTGTAAATATCGCCTTCGTACGCATAGTTCAGTGGAGATGCTGTGCCGTTGATACCCAACCAGCGTTGCGGTTCTTCTGGTGAGGTCTGGGAGGGGGGTAATGCGCCTCAAAACTTAATACAGCAGCCGATTGAATCGGTGCTGCTGTCTCATCTAAGAAGATCCCTGCACAATATTCCTGTCTTCGCTGCGAGTACGGCAGAGACGATACTGCCGATGACACCATAACAGGTTGTGTGTGCCCGCCGTTTAGCGAGCATTTTCCCTTTCCTGCCGACAACTGCACACACAGCAGCAGGGCAGCTACTACTATACCTCAAGGGGCAGGGCACCTAATGGCCACACCAGTCTGTACAGCAGAGAGTTGTAAGGGGCTTGACGTCTAACCAACACCACTGTAGGAAATGCACACAAGGATGTGCTGCAATGGACATGCTGCTACGTCAAGACCACAAGCCACAACCAACGGGACGCGCACATATAGATATTCGAATGCTATTCGGGTAGTGCCAATGCGTGCGTGTGGGTGTGCACAAATGCCTGACCGAACTCGAGCCATCAACGTGAACGATGTACCTAGTCTCGAGTCTCAAGAGAGCTTAGAGATGGAGACTAAGGCCCTCATGCACTGTTTCCAGCTTTGAACCGCACCAATTTCAGAAGCAATCCTCGGCGCGAAAGCTCGCTATTTGCCATAAAAAAATGGCACACGATCGAGACTCGCGTGGGTTAGGTGTGTGCAGCAAGGCCTGACGCCCGCGGGACGTTGGAAACGAGCCGAGTTAGCCAGCGGTGTGCGGACGGGTTGATCAAACAAGTCAGTGTCCGCGTAAGCATACCTCGGTGGACACTGCCTTCTCCAGCTGCCGCCTAAGGGCTGCAGTTTCCGCAGATGCGTCCATCTCACCCAAGGGCTGCAGTAGCACACAGCAGCAGCAAGTGCACAGCTGCAGAGTACACACCGAGCTGCAGCAGAGCAGTACCTTCCTATTGCCCGCCTTGTCTGTCGTGTTGCCCTTTCACTGCTTTGTTGTGCGGCAATCGCTTGGGGGACTGCGGAGCGGAGTTGGGTACAGACCGCAGAGCCCCCTCGATACAAGCAGAGGATCGGGGCGGCGTAGCGGTGTGCACATTGCCGCAATATCGTCTTGGGTTGGCGCGGAGCTCTCCCTCTCCTCCTTGCCTGGAATCATGGTTCAATCACAGACCTGGTTTCACAAGCCGGAGAACGCTCTCAAGCGAGCAAATGGTAAGTGCAAAAGCAAGACCGTCCCAAGGGCGATTTGGAAAAGACAGCGTTTTGTGGTTGTGGTTTGCGCCCACGAAGAATCGAGGAGGGGGATAGGGGAGGACAGCTCTCGGGCACACGCCGAAAGGGACACGACATGCGTATTGCAGCTATACAGAGAGGTCCGTGTGGACCTATACCGCTCATGATGTAGCCGAAGAGGGAATCGAATGCAAGGCGGTACATAGTGACCTCTATTCCTGTAGATGGGGCCGGGGGGAATCCTGTGCCTCGTGTGCTGCTGTCGTCCCTACCCCAAACCGTGGATGCTCCCGGCCCTCGAACCATGTTTGCCTCGTCCGTTGGACGGATACGTGCATGCTGTGGTGCCGCAGTCACCTGCTGACTGCGCGATCTACCTGCTGTGTGATGTTTAAAAAAACTCGCTGTCAACATGCCACCTGCAGCCTGGTCGTCTACAGCAGAGGATGTAGCGCACAATTTCTTGTCCCGGAAACCACGTTCGTTCAAACATTGAAGCAACCACCCGCACTTCAGCTCTGTGTTCCTGTTTCTGAAGTTCTGCATCGATCCTTACCCAAAGCCTTCCTGGTATGCAGGCTTCCCCACGTTTCGCCTGAATCAACTCATGGCCTCTTCGAGCGCAATTCAGTCAAATACTTGGCTTGCCCACTCTCCCTAACCCTCTCCCCCCCCGCCTCCAGAGCTGATCGCGATCAACAACAAGCCGGCGGCCCTGGAACTGTTGCACAGCGTCTTCACCACAAGGCAAGCAAGGGCGGTTTAACCGTGATGTCAATCAAGTCTTTTGTCTACTTTTTCATCTTCCTTTTGCGCGGCTCTTCTGTCTGCGGACTGGTGCTTGAGTCATGGAGAAAGAGAGGGGGGGGGTGGGGGGAGGTGCACTCATGTAACCGCACACCGTATACTATCCAGTCGTAACAACCATTGAGGTCCCATCCCCACGGTGGCGGGACAGAGCGATATGCCGGGTTGCCGCTTGCCCAGGCTACCTTTCACAAGGATGACCCAGGAGCTGGGCCATCATCCTTGCGTTTGCTTTGTCTAAACCAGATACTGTATATGACATAAGATAAGACGCCCCCTTCGACCACTTTTCGGAGCTCGATTTCTCAACTGCAGGAACAGTCACAGAGCCGAAAACGGCGAGGTTGAAACCGTCTCGTCGGGAGCTTTTCGAACATATACCGTTTCGTTTATGCATCCTCTTCGTCGTGGAGTAATCGAGCTTTGAAAATCGGTCCAGGGGATGTGTTATCTTGTGTCATTTACGGTATGCAATTGGTTGCCGCAAGTATGTACTACTGGAAGACAGCACTTCCTGAGCGCCGCACAAAGCTAAACTCTTTCCCCGAGGAATGTTGTATCACCATCGCCCTCGACGCCCGATACGCTCTGCCGTGGCTTTAACTTTACCGGCACAGGTGCACCTGGTGTGGGTGCGGGTGTTGTTGTTGACGCTGCAGTAGCACAATCAACGGCGCGTTGCCAAGTAAATGTGCGGGCGATATATGCCCCTCCGGTGTGCAACCGATTGTTAAGAATCGAGTGCTCCACGAACAACAGGGTTGTTGCCCAACCAGACCGATGCCTGCAGGGAATCCAGCCGCTTTTCCTTCCACTCACCGGTGTAAAGAGTTGAACCCATCCCCTTTGTGGTGTTATCTCGAACGGATACATAGTCTTCCTTAGAGTGCATGTATATTTTTCTAGAACGCTCTCGACGATACATATCTATCCCAAAACCACCCTTTCGGCGGTGTTGGCAAGCCTATTGGTTGTGGATCTACGTATGAGGCCCCAAGAATCAATCCCGCAAGCTCACTCGGTTGGTTAATAGGCGACCGCTCCCGGATTCCGCCTCTCTGTCACAGCAGTGATTTCAGGCAAGGAGGGCCTCGCATTCGGCCTTCTCGAGCTCCTGCATATATTCCCCCGCGTTGTATCGTTCGTAGATGGATGGACGGCCAGATCACCGCCCTTCCCAACTCTGCTTTAGCTTGCCACATGGCAGATGTAGATGTGCGAGGGTGTGGTACAAGCAAGGACGCACGTGAAAGGTGTAGACAAGAACAGACGCACGAAGACCTTGCTGGCCGATTGCAGGCAGAGGAGCGGGTGATGTTACAGAACACTTAGGACACCTTCGGAGTAGTGCCCCTTGGCACCATGAGAACACTCTTCTGTCGCTGACGCTCTCTCCGCTGCGTGGCATCTCTCCGTTGCTTGCGGCCACAAGTACGAACCCTGACCTCAGCGCCACCCAAAACGTCAAGTACGGCAAGGCTTTCCAAAGCGATGGTGTTGTTGTTGTTGTTTCTCACATTAGCTCTATAGTCCACAAGAAATGGGGAGCCCGTGGTCGCAAAACCCGGCACATACGACGCCGCGGGGAAACAACACAAATATAGGGTACAAACCACTCGGAAAACGAAAACAAAATGAAAGAAAGAAAATAACAGGTATCGCACCGACCGTTCGAGAAAAGAGCCCTCGGAAACCGAGCGCTCCTTGGTGTGGTTAGTTGTGATTCACATTGAAGACTAGGCCCAGCGCCTGGGCTCACACCACATCATTAGAGTACACGCCACTCGGTGTCTGGTTCCTAATCCTTTGTGTCATTCGTAGACTAGTCGAGGACCACATGGCAGATGTTGGTGTACGAGGTGTGTGATACAAGCCACCCACGCATGTGATGTTGTTGACGAGTATAGGTGCGTGGATTCTGCGTTCATCACACGAAGACAGCGCTGACAAGTTGCAAGCAGCGGAGCGGTTGATGCTTCAAGTCTTGTTGTAGTACCTCTGGAGCTGTGCCTGACGCTCTCTGCGCTGTATCGCCTCTCTGCGTTGCTTGGGCTACCCAATAACTTCAAGAGTAACTCAAGTTAGCCGTATGAACACGTGGGGCCCAGCGGCCTCAAGACCAAAGCTACCGAGCCCACTTCCTCGAACCTCTGCCACTTTTGGTGTTGGACGTGAGTGGCATGATGCCTCTATTTTGTCGTGCGCGCAACATGATTCGTGTTGTATCAGTCGATAATACCGCACACGTTGCGACGTACTTCTTCAATCGCTAATACAATCGTCCCGTTGGTTATGACATGTGTCGAGTCAAAGTTGATCTCACCGCACACACCGCCGTGTTTCTTCAAGCGCCACAAAACATTTCGTGCGATATGATTAGCGTTGTCGACGCTAACATTACCGCGCACACGCCGTGATTCTTCATGCACTACCAACATTTCATGCGATATTTTTGTGTGTTGTGCCAAAGCCAATGTTACTGCACACACCGCGCGTTTGTTCGGGCGCTAAAGGGATGTCATCATGCGATACGATTTTGGTGCATCTACAGTCGATATTACCGCACACACGGCCGTGTTTTCGTCAGGCGCCACTTGTACAAAGTTCTTGATGCGATGTGACTTGTGTTGTGCCAAATCCAAAAATGCCGCACACGCCGCAACGTGTTCTTTCAGGCGCTGCAAGCATTCCTTGATGTGATTTGTGCTGTACCAACGCCAATAACACCGCACACGCCGTGTTCCTTCAGGCGCTACAAAACATGGCAGACCGCGTACGAGACGATCATGCTCAAGTACATGGACCTCTGCGTGCAGCTGCAGCAGCACCGCCAGGCGAAGGACGGACTGCACCAGTACCGCAACATGGCTCAGCAGCAGGCGCCGGGATCACTGGAGGTGGGCGGGGTGTTTTGTCTTTTCTGTCTCTGAGCGTAGAGGTTATGCCAAAGCACGCGTGACGTTGCTCTTGTGTGACCACAGCTGATATGTCAGATATATACACCGAATGATGTGCAGAGTGACGCCAGAGAAGATGGGACGAACAAACTCACACGAACTTGTGCACCGACCGTCTATCCCAACATCTTCCACGTCATCTCATGTTCGTGCACACGAGTGTTTTGCACGTCTACGAATCTATTTTGGTCACCGGTGTCATGGTGCGGAATTGAATTCCGTGTGCATACGTACTCCGTGCGGCGGAAATATGTGCAAACTTTGTTTTAATTACAAAAAGCGGTGCTAGTTCTACCTCGTGCAATCTCGTCTCGCAGAAAAGGTCATTTTATCCCGTACGAGGATGGATGTACTTGTATACGGTACGGTTTTGGTTGCGTTCTCCATGTGATCATCAACTACCGTATTCCGCAATAAACGTTGCTCTTGTTCCGTACTGTGATACACATGGTACGGTTTATTTTCTCGGTATCTCCAGGTGATCATCAACTATAATACCTCATTGCGGTCTTGCTTCTGTTCCGCATGATGATGCGCATGGCACGCTTTTCTTCTCGGATCTCCAGGTGGTCATCAACTACCTCGTGGACCAGGCAGAGAAGAAGGCCACCAACAGCAGGAAGAAGGCCGACCAGGTATGTATCCACCCCAACACAAACCCACACACGGGCCCCCCGAGAGACACGAAAGAGACGGATTTGTAGACAGGAACAGGGGGTGAATGAACACTCTTCGCTGCGGTACAGTATTGGGCCCTCTATGGTGCAGCTGCCCGGTATAGTGCCGGTGAAATCTGCCGACACAGATGTAAGCTGGTTACTACAACCTTGATGTATATTCCTGAATAGTGCAGGTGCCTGGTAAAGTGCAGGTAAAGTCTCTGGACACACCCCTGCACTATGAAGGACCCAGACCTGTATTGGCATCGTAGTGCTCTGGGGTACAGACGCACGTGTTGAGGTCGTGCGGGAGGAGGCCAGCAGAAAAGGTGCTCAACCTACTTGCTCACCCTGGCACCAGATGGGTTTGACGTATGAAATAGGCATTGCTATGTACGCCGTTATTCGATAAACCTGCCCGGCTGGATGTTCGCAACTATGCATACGCGTGCATGTTGTTGCTTTGCAGATGTGGCCGGTGTGTTCTTTATTGAAGCTGGAAATTCCAAAATACCCAAAACGGAAACACCCACTGAGCGTTTCATTTGAGTCTCGAAGGCTGGAGAAGTGTGATACACAACATATCCATGGCGTGTGAGACCAAAATGTTCGTACGCGTGCATGTTGTCGGTTAGATGTCGCTGGTGTGCTTTCTGTTGAGCCTGGAAGTCCAAAAATACCCAAAATAAGGAGCAAGACTCAGTGACCGCATCATCGCGTCCCGAAGCCTGGGAATTTGTGATACACATCAAATGTAGCGCGTGGGACCAAAATATTCCCTAATCGTATGCGTGCATGTTGCCGCTTGGCAGATGTCGCTGGTGGAGGCGACCAAGGTAGGCGACCTGGAAGCCGAGGCCACTCCCGAGTCGATCATGCTCTCCACTATGACCGAGGAGGGTGAGAAGGAGAGGGCCGACCGCGAGATGGTGGTCCCGTGGCTCAAGTTCCTCTGGGAGACGTACCGGGCCGTGCTTGACATCCTCAAGACCAACACCAAGCTCGAGCACGTCTACCACGCGACGTGCATCAAGGCGTTCAACTTCTGCCGGTGAGATTGGTTGCTTTTGGCGTGATGGACCGGTGCATAGCTTCTGTTGCTCGGGAGGCGTGCGTCTGCAGATCAGTGTTTTTTTTATATGATGGGTGGATGGCCTCTGCTGCTTGAGAGGTGATCGTGGGATCCCTTTGTTGGTTGGGTGTGGTAGGTATTTGGCAGTTGCGAGGATGTTAATCTTGGATTTAGTATGGGTTAGAGTTAGGAATACGAACCCCCCCTCTCTATTTCATAGATTGAACAATATTATCCTCGCAAAGGCGGGCGGTATCTAACGGGGGGCGGG